AGAGCACCCTGCTACCCACATAAACTACCACACACACACACACACACACAACACACCACGCGCACACATACACGGACACACACACACACACACCCCCATGTAGGGCACACACACACACACACACACACACCACACACTACACGGACACACACACACACAGACAACATGCACACGCACACACACATGCATACATATACACATAACATACACACACACACACGGACACACACGACACACACACACCCAACACACACCACACACCCGACGCAAACTCATAAACACATGCACACACACACCACACACACACACACACACACACTCACACACCCACTCACATACACACACACAAACTCACACACGACACACACGCACACACTACACACACATACACCACACACAATCACACACAAACACACACACACACACACATGGACGCACACGACACACACATACATACACATAAACACACACATCTATATATATATATATAGATATATATATATATATATATATATATATTATATTATAATATATATGAGACAGCACACGCGCCACTACAACACACACTCACAAACACATACAGTCATCATACACATACATACATAGCGGCCCCACCCCCCCCCCCCCCCCCCCACCCCACCCCCCCCCCCCCCCCTGACTACCCACATCCCTCCACACACAGACACACTATACACACACACTACACACACACCTACACTACACAACACACCACTACGGACACACACACACACAGACACATGCACTACCACACATGAGTAGCACGGGGGGGGGGAAAGAGGAGGGGGGGGTAGAGCAACAGTTCATACATTATACATACATACACACACACATACGGACACACACAAACACCACACACACACACACACACAACCAAAACCCCCCCCAAAAAAAAAAAAACCACAAACCACACAAACACACACACACAACACACCACATCATACACACACACACACACACATGCACACAAACACACACCCAACAACACACACACACCCAATCACACACACTACACACGGACGAGGCACACTCATAAACACAGCACACACACACACACCACACACACACAAACTCACACACACACTCACATACCACCACACACTCACACACACACACCGCACACACATACACACACACCACCCCACAAATCACACACACTCACACACACAGCACACATGGACGCACACACACACACAACATCCACATAACACACCATTCTATATAATATTATATATTATATCTATATATATTATATATAGGATCACAACACTAGGCGCACACACCCACACTCCCAAACACATCATACATACTACCCATACTACAATAGCGACCTGACTAACCACATACGACATCCACCCACACCAATTCCCACATACCCACACACCACCTACACACACACACACACACACACGGACACACCAAGACACACAGACACATCAACGCACACACACATGCATACATATATAACATACATACCACACACACATACGGACACCACACCCACACCACACACACAGACAACACCACAAACACACACACACACACACACACACACCCACCAGCACAAACACACACACACACAAAACCACACACACACACACAGACGCAAACTCTAAACACATGCCACACCACTCCACACGACACACACCACTCACCCAACCTCACATACACCACACCCACTCACACACACACACACGTCCACACACATTCTCGCACCACACAATCTCATTCTACACACACACAGCACACACACACACGAACGCACGCACACAATACTACACATGGACGCACACACACATACTTACACATAAACACACACATTATGTATATATATGATTTTATTATATATTATATACTATATATATATATATATATATTATATATATAATATGTACATATAAGAATAAATATATACGTGTGTGTATGTATCTCTTGCTCACATGCCTACGTACACATCACACACACACTCACAATAGCTACATTCACACATACATACACACATACACACAAGTACATACGATAGCGTCTTGACTTACTCTGCATGAGAATCAATAAACATATCCATACCAACACACCACACACACACACACACACACACCACAATCACGAAACAGCACACCGCCATCTATACATACACTAAGTGTATAAACCTATTTTGATTAATGGACCACCGGCGGCGTCGCTCCCCCGGCCAAGCGGATCTGTTGGTCGGCAATGCTTTGTTCTCTGTCGGCCCTTCTGACTGCTCAGTTTCGGCGACCTCCACGGCCTGGGTGTGTTACGCCTCAATCACTCAACATTCGCAAGGCGCCTTCCCTTGACGACTGCCGAGGTTGACCCCGAGGTAGCCTCCGATGGGAATTCTACACCCTCTATTTTCGTACTCGTGCGCCAAGTCCGAACCGCTCCGCCTTCACGATGCTGACGTACAAACTGTTCCACGCCGCTCCCGAGTCCTCGCCCGCGTCCACTGGCTCTACGCGGAGTGAGCCCGAGCTGATGAGCTTCTCTTTTCCTTCGGAGAGCGCTGGCTTTGGGCCCAGTGGTGGACAGATTTTTCGGAATGCGGAACGACACCTTCATCGGGACCGTCATGCTGGGCAGGAAAAAGCACCTGAATTTTACCGATGTAAGGAAAGGGATTTTAAAGGTACGAATCTTCTCCTGGTTTTAAAGCGACACACAGGCTACCATCTCGGAGGTAACGCTCACTGCCTACATCATTAAGGATTTGTATAAGCAAGGCAGTGTCAATCAGGGTAGCTGAATCACGCCATGGAGAGTCTCTTGTACTCTTTGGATAGGATTCCCCTCGACACCACAGATGACACGGAGGAAAACCTAAGCGCCATCATCGAAATCCTCCAGTCCAGAGGGAAATACGTCAGCATGCGTACGCAGCAGCTGACGGTCGACCTCCTGGCCAGGTTAAGCGGCAGCCTTGCGGCCACAGTCAACGAGACAGGAGAGGTCGTCCCCTAGTCGCGTCTCGAAGACGACGGCCGCCACATCCTGGGCGTCGTCGGGGATATCCTCGGCATGCAAGGGGGATCCCATGTGAATAAGAGGGACGTGAACGCAGACAACCAGATCGTAGACAGACTGCAGAAGACGGTAAAATCTGTGGGTGACGCGTTGCTCGTGAGACGGCAGCCCGGCGAGGTGATCAGCATGAACACTTCCAAAATCGAACTAATGGCAGTGAGAACCACAGGGGTAGGTGACAAACCCAAGTCCTTTGCCTTCAGCAACGTGACGGTGAACCTGCTTTAGGATATCGACAGGGATGATTTATTGTCTATGTCCGCAACGCCCGCCAACCCATTGTGGAAAGCGGAGACTGACTTCGCGTCGGGGGTTCATTACCATCGCGTCGAAACGCCCGATAACGTAGCCAATTGAGTATAAATTCGCCCGCTCGAAGAACGTGTCAACACATATCGGGTTCTTCCAATGTCGCCCTGGTGAATATCACTGGCGTGGGCCACTGCGTGCAGTACATGAACATGCCTCGCAGGTACGGATGGCGGCGTCATCGACGATGTCTCGGGGGAGGTAGCGGTGGTGATCCCCGCCTTCGGCCGGACCACGGTCAAGGATGTTCTTGGTGTCTCGCAGCCCCCAAATTTCGCGCGCCGTGATCCACGCTGGAGTTCCTGCATCACGAGCATATTATAGGAAGGATATGCGTTCCCAGAAAGGACATCTAACCAATCCTGGGTTACAAGTCCTTCGACATTCTGGTAACGGGAGCGGAGAAATGGCACCCAATTAGGGGATATTCATATCGACAACAAAGCTTATGAAAGCGCAAATATAAACGGTGATTATCCGCCTGGCCTACACGTCGCTCATGTTATTCAACGAATCGGTGGCGAGGGAGTGTAATAAAGAGTCAAGGCGAGTTTCATATCCTATCTATATACAACTGAAGATGGTGTAGCTGTCAGGTCAGTGTGTGGTGTACGACGAAGTGAAAAAAGGAATTTAAACTCGACAATAGCTGTAAAGTTTTTCCGGACATCTCCGAAATTACGTGTCGGTGTTACGGCGCCTCCACGCATGCAACGATCGTCATGCCTGAAACTAACACCATTAATATCAGCACGGTATTCAAAGACTGACGGATAATCAAGCTCCACTTATCTTACTGATAGTTCTCGTCTTGCTATTTTTGTTTCTGACTTTCGCGGCAGCACTGATGGACCGCCGGGACCAGAAGAGACTCAGTCCTCAGGTTTGCTAATCGCAGTCCACCCTCTTATGCACGTACAACGTCTTTATTTACACGCAGCTGTTTAGATTCCGTCCCGGCTCGAATTCTAATTTTATCCTCACCCTTAACGGCGAGCTGAACTCGTACACGAACGA